CTGACTCACCAGCTCCAGGATCCAGGCACCAGCCCCCACTCCCCTCCCAGAGCCAGGGAGAGAACCCAGGAGTCCTGGCCCCCAGCCCCCACTCCCATCCCAGAGCCAGGGAGAGAACCCAGGAGTCCTGGCCACCAGCCCCCACTCCCATCCCAGAGCCAGGGAGAGAACCCAGGAGTCCGGCCACCCCCACCTGCTGGCAGCCCAGCGCCTCCAGTCCCGGACCCGCCTCCCCAGCCCACAGCGAGTGAAGCCCCGCCTCCGCCGGCCCTCTCTCCTTTCATTAGATAGTCGGGATGCCAGTCAGTAGACAGGGAGACTGTGAATGCGCTGATTGGCCAGTCTTGACCCGAGAGAAAGTGACGTACATCGGAGCCGGAAGACTCCTGCTCTTCTCAGGGCAGGGGCTGAACCATTGCAGCCCGTGGAGGGGTCCTCCCAGCAATGGAACGTCCTAGCAGCCGATTGGCCAGCATCTTCCCCGTGGGCAAGGCGCTGAGGTTGCTCCACGTTTCTCCGGCAGGGGGCGCTGATGCACAGGGCGTGGCCACAGTCCGAGCGTGTCCGTGGCCCCCCTCTAGTGCTGGGATCGTGGCATGCTGCAGGGATTGGGCTCGCTGCCCTCCTGCCCCACCTGAGCACCCTTCCCTGCCCCCCCCCTCCCCCAGTCCTGGATCCGGGCTCACTACCCTCCTGCCCCACCTGAGCACCCTTCCCTGCTCCCCACCCAGGTCCTGCATCCGGGCTCGCTGCCCACCCCACGAGGCCCTACCTCGGCACCCTTCCCCCCGGTGCTGGGATCCTGGCATGCTGCAGGGATTGGGCTCGCTGCCCTCCTGCCCAGGGCCGGCTTTAGGAAGTGCGGGGCCCAATTCAAATAGTTTCGACGGGGCCCCGGCAGGGTTGATTTAAAAAAACAAAAACAAAAACAAAAACATAAAAAAACCACATGGGGCTTGTACTCACTGGGCCGCGCTCCTAGTCTTTGGCGGCGGGTCCTTCACTCGCTACGGGTCTTCGGTGGCACTGAAGGACCTGCCGCCAAAGACACAGAGCGCCGTCGGGTGAGTAAAAATTAAAAAGGCGCCTCTAGCCAGGGAAGGGATTCTCTGCCACTTGCCCCCCGCTCTGGGTGGCCCTGCCACTCGGTGCGGGGCCCTCTTAGGCGCGGGGCCCGATTCGGGGGAATTGGTGGAATTGGCCTAAAGCCGGCCCTGCTCCTGCCCCACCTGAGTACCCTTCCCTGCCCCCCCCCCCCCAGTCCTGGATCCGGGCTCGGCA